TAATCGGTGTTGCGCGCTACAGGTGTGACCTTGATGATGTTGGTCGTACGGTAACGGTCCCGTGTCAGTATCTCGATTTTTTCCGATCCACTGACACCGTTCGGGTTGGACACCGAATAAGGCCCGGAGACGCCACGCGCAGGGAATTCGTCCACCACTTGTGTGAGCGCCTGCTGGGCGAGAAATCCGTTGGCGGTGACATTGCCCTCTTCATAATGACCACGTATGCCAGGCAGCGAGCGGTTGTACTGGCTCAGCGTCCTTGCGGGATTGGTGTCGCCAGTCGTGTAGTCGCCCAGCAGAAGGTAGTTGAGCTTGTTGTCGATCCGGACATACAGCTTTCCCGAGCTTTGTGCATCGACGCCGCGAATGCTTGAGTCGCCGTATACGGGGTAAAAGGCGTTCGGATCAATATCCTGAAAAAGCTTGATCCGCGTGTCTTTGTCGGAATCGTAGGCGAGGGTTAAGAGATATTCACCCTTGACCTTGCCCTTGAGGTAAACAGCCGCCCGTGCTCCAAGGTTGGTTTTCCCGCCATTGAAGTCCTTGGTAAAGCCTTTCAGCTCGTTGTCAAACCCGTCGTTCTCACGAACCGGAGTAATCTGCTTCGGATCAAATTTGTCAGAGCGCAAGCGGCCTTCAACGAGGCCAACTGCCACAAAGTCCCTGAGGTCGGGGACATAGCGGACGATGACTTTTTCAGCAACGCCCTTGACTGACACCTTCAGGGTCACAGGATCAGGCTTGAAAGGCGCAATCAGCTTGAACTGCAACGTGCCATTCTTGACGACATACTGGACACCCGGGGTAATCCTGTCGATATCGCCGCGGTCAGCGCCCGACTCTGAAGTTCTGCGGCCAGGCATCAGGATACGGGCGCCCCCGTCCACTTCGATCGTGACCTCAACGTCGCTCGTGATGCGCTGCTCATCCTTGCCGAACAGGCGCAGTTGGACATCCGTACCCGTCACACCATCGGCGGTCAGGTTATCCCCATCTACCTTCAGGCTGATTTTTGTGACGGGAGAACTCAGTCGCTCCAGGAATGAGGTGAATGGACGCGGGCCTATGCCCTCCTGCCCACCCGTTTCAAACAGGCTCTTCGCTTCAGGAACATCGGCGCTCGTTGTATTGGCCGCAGGCTGGGCCAACGCAAGACCCTGCGCAAGCATGACCGCGATGGCTACCGGGGTACGCCGCAGCATCACGCCATCGGAAAAGCAGGTCTGCTTCATCTGTTTCATTGCACAACCCCCGGACTTGAGGGGAGGAGGTCCTGCTGTCTTGTGGACGGCAGGATTTGTTGCGGCACTTCGCCTGGGCGATTCTGGATTTGCAGCGGCAGGGATTTTTCTGTTTCAGGAGACGTTACACCTCCCTGGGCACGGCGCGCCTTCACCTGGTCGAGGACCTCAGGGCTGCAGGAACCTTCGATGAAGTCCGCGCGGGCAAGTTCCCCGCCCTTGAGGTCTACAAACAGGCTGTCGCCGACACCTGCGTTCCGGTTGCTGGACGGTACAAGGCGCGAGCCCTTTGGCAATGTCGTGCGGTCAACCTTGACCACGTGTGTCTGTGGCTTGACGCCGCAGACGCTGTATTTGCCTTCGGAGTCGGTGATAAAGAAGCTGCCATCCAGCATCACAAGGCGAACACCAGGGATGCCCACTTCACGGCTTCCGCCTGAATTGTTCTGAACGGCGTTGCCGTCGCAGTCAACGTAGACCTTGCCGGTGATACAGCCTTCATTGCTGAACACGCCACCCTGTACGTTGACCTTGAACTTGGCAATATTCGAAACTTGGCCACCGCCGCCTCTGGCCTGTGCGCTGTTGATGCCATCGCCTTGCTGCGATCCGACACCAAGCCTGACAAAATAGGTCAACTCGGCAGTTTCCTGTCCGTTGATGGTGCCAATACTGAAGGTCAGATCACGGCCTACGCCACCGGCAGGATTGGCCAGCGTCGCAGTGCCAAGGCGTGACGTTCCCAGAATGTAGCGGAATCCGGCCGGGAGTGAATCGGCAACCTGCACATTGGCGATCGGCAACAGGGTTGTGTTTCGCACACGTACGGTGTACTGAACAGAATCACCCAACTCCGCAACAGTCTTGTTCCCGGTCTTGCTGATCAGCAGGGCTCCAAGCACAGGTTTGGTTCCAGGATCCAGCGGAATGTGATTGAAGTAAATGTTCGCCGAGTTCGCCGCAAGATTGAACGACAGGTAATACGTCGTTGCCTGGCCACCCTTCGGCGGGCCTGACTGGCTCTGCACGAAGATATCGGCACCGGCTGGCACAGGTGATTGAGGGAAAGTACCCGGCGTGATCGTGCTGGCCGAGAACCCGGAAGGCGGCGTCACCTGAATCACATAGTTGCCCGCAATGAACGGGAAGCCC